TGATCACATATTTGAAGTAAATATGTCACTCATTTTATCAGAAATCGGATGCCGAATCATTATTATAAACCCCTATTGCCATATTTCTCAATTCAATCAAATTAGCTACTCAAATTTCATTTATTTACGGAGATTTAACCTGATAATTTAGTCTAGTAGGGGGTTTCAGAACTAACAGAAATAGATAACGGACTCATTTTCAAATGAGCGATATGTAAACTTTATTTCATTTTCCGATAAATTTGAAATGATCTTTGTCGTTGAAAAGTTTACTTATTTCATTAAATGGGTGTCTCTAAACACTCCCATTTCATTTTCCGATTTCAAAATTTTGATACACAAATAAAATTTTTTAAACTCCCATTTATTTTGATTCTGAACCCCCCTAGTATAACGGTCTTTTATCAATATTATATACTGTACTTAAAATAAATATCTGGGTTTTTGCTGATTGATTCCCACAAACTTGTGAAGCACCAAATGTAGCAGATCACGTGCGGCAAGCTGCATTATCAATACCGTGTATGAAATTTGGTATTGGTATACCCAAATGAAATGGGGCGGGGTACGGGTACCGGAGCCAGTGCTCCCACTAGTTAGTAGGAATAGAATTTGCTAAGAAATTAGCTCTCTACACACGGGGAGAAAAAACAAAAACAAGCAACAAATTCTTAAATTTTTATGTAAAGTCAATGTAATTATAATTCACATTTATTTTAAGGTCAATAAACATGCCATAGGGCGTCCTCTAAAAGGAGGTTATAAAAAAAAACAAAAAAAAAACAAAAATAGCACTATTAACTTATTAAAAAAGGTTAAAAAAACCCATCTAGAGAAGAAAATGTTACGATTCGAAGAGATTTAAATGGTCTTTGTTTTGCACAATCATTTTGTTATAAATTTAAGGATAAAAACCCAACTCTAAAAACATTATAAGCAAGTGGGAAAATGATCGCCAGCTAAACATGTAAGGGAACAACTTAAGTCTGGACGAGAAATATCACATCGTTCACCAGAATTAGCAGAACAACAGTAGTTAAATTCATAGTTAGTTGTAGAACATCTCAAAGAAAAGCATTGTTCTGGATGACTCGAATTAACATTGTTGAAATGGTTGGTTAACTCAAGGTGTTGGCGTAGTGCATACAAAGTTCGTAAATGTACAAGTACAAGTATGATTTCTTTCTAAGGCACAACCAATAGTTGGAATAGCAGGAGGGGAGGTGCAATTTGGGATATCGTCGTAGTGATGGTTGTACAATTTTGGGAATAGGGGTTTATAATAATGATTCGGCATCCGATTTCTGATAAAATGAGTGACATATTTACTTCAAATATGTGATCA